CTCCCCTTCCGGCCGGTTGGCGACACGGCGAGAGAGGTTGTCGGGCGTAAGGGACACAGGGGCGTGTGTGCCGAAGCCCGGAGAGTCACGGTGGACGTCCGGGGGGTGGCGGGAGCGAGTGGGCCTGCGACGGGCCGCGGACCCCGTGGAGGACAGCGGCCCGAACTCACGCGGAGGTTCGCTTTTAGGGCGGACCCCCCACCTCCCGCCCCGTGTTTAACTTCGCGCCTGCGGTGGCCGACCTAGCTCGTCTAGGATGCAGCCACAGAGGCAGCGACAACACCCTCTCCTTTCGTCACAAGGAAGCGTCCTTCCCGGAATCCCCCCGCAGTTGCTGTCAGATGTCCGCGGACAGGGTCCCTTCGCGCGCGCCTCGCGCAGACGGAGGGGAAGCGGACGAGCGTGGGCTCCGGCCAGCGGGGCCGGGCGTCCGTCAGGCCCCACGCCGCAGCTCCAAGGGCGCATAGCGGCCATCAGGAGGAGTTGGAGGCCAAGTGGGGACAACCGAACCTGCCACAAACCTGCTGGAACCCACAGGATGGACTGGTCACACGCATGTCCTGCAGGAGCAGTGGGCACCGGTCCTCACAGGAGGACACGCCTGGCCCAGGAGTGGGGCAAGCCGAAGGCTGCACGCCGGCCCCCACCAGTGAGGTGAGCGGCAGCCACCCCTGGACCCCTGCCCTGCCCTTCCAAGTGTAAAAACGTCGCGGCTTTCCCCGTCCCACGCAGAATGCCTCTCGTGGCCCAGTTAGGACACCTGCAGGAAGGAGAATTCTAGTGAAGTGGTCCGGCCCAGCCTAGTTGCCACACCCCACGGAGGCCATCACCATACCAGAAAGTCAGTTGGGGTCCTGTTAGGAGTGAGGAAAGGGAGCGACTGGTTACTGAGCGGGGAACCGAAAGTCCCCGCCACAGAAGCCACTGGAGAATTTTACACAGATTTTAAAATAAAAATCCCCTTGTAAAAAAGATGGCTCGTTCCAGCCCTGACTTTACAGGGCGCTCTTGGCTGTCATTGTCCACTCCCCTTGGGGCGCTTTAGATCCTTTGCTGCTCAGGGACAGATGACCAGCGCCTCCGCCCGTTTCTGGATCCAGAGCCCCTCAGGCCCAGAGTCCCAGCCGTCCACGCTGCCTGGCCCTTCCGTTTCACCTTTGATCTCTGAAAGTGTTTTGGTTTTTATATATTTTTTTGAACGATCTGTTGTAGCCATGAGTGGAGGGAATCGGGGAAGGTCTCTGAACGTGAACTTGTAATGCCTTCCGCCCAGAGGAAGTAAATGTTTTTCAAATAAAGGACAATAAAAGAGTTTTGTCCTATTTTGGTTTTCCTGTTTTATACCTCGGGTGAAATGCGGTAAGTTACGCCTGACGGTTTTCCAGTTACTAGTGTTCTCCTACATCAAGACAGAAACAAGTCATCGAATTGTTTAAAACTTGAAGTCTGCTTTATAGAAAGTTGAAAATAAGGACACTTGGCATCTCTAGATCAGTTTCACGGGTTTCAGAATGGCCAGTTATTTTCCGGGAGGTGTTCAAAGTGCTCTGAGCAGCCGGTTCTGTTTCATCAGGCTCGGCTTTGCCTGCTGGGCCCTCGTCATAAAGTGCCGCAGTTGGAATGTGTCATCGTTCCTTGCAAAGAATTAAGACAGCAGAGAAAAGATATCCCCTCCTCCTCTTGGGGGTGACCAAGTCCTTCCTGGGGGCTCATGCCGAGGAGTGCGCCTCCCATGATGTCCCCGAAATGGCTGGGTTCGCACCGCGCCCAGCTAGACTCCCGGCTTTGACTCCCTTTCGTGTCCCTTGGAGCTGTCCCTCCTTCCCTGGACGCCCATCACTGCAGTGAGAACCGGCTTACGTGGGAACTTGTTCTGTAGCCTGGGGGCCCTCGAGACGTCTTCTGGGGTGGGGTTCTGCCTGTCGAGAGCCACATGGAGCATCCAGGGCAGAGGCTGGGACGTGGGGTGAGCATAGAGCCCGGTGGCAGGTGGGCGTCCAGTCCACTTTGAATGAATGAGTGAGTGAATGAATGAAAGCGTGTCCCCTGAATCACCAGCTGCCGTAACGTTTCAGTAATTTCTGATAAACAGCACACTCGTTCTTTGAAGAGAAAGCAGTGGAGACAGATGCAGCTGCTTCTTGAGGAGCCGGGGTTGCACAGACGGCGAACGCCTCTCACACACACTGACGTCGAATGCACTAAAGGCTTTAGTTTTCAGCATCTGACTAGAAGCTCTCAAACACCAAGTCTCGCTTGAACAGACTGATGATGCGAGCTCATTTGCAGGCCAAGGTCTAGGTGTTCATCATCTTGGAATTCACACGTGACCGGGTGAAAACACTATCTCGACACCAGCGTATCTGTTTCCTGTTGCAGTTGTAACAGATCACCAGAAACTCAGCAGCTTGCGACGCCACATTTATCACCTCGCGGCTCCGAGGCCAGAAGTCCGACCTGGTCTCCCCGAGCGAAATCAAGTTCCTCCTGAAGCTCTGGGGGGAGAGTGGGCTCCTTGCTCCCCCAGGTTCAGGGCCTCCTGATCCCGTGGCTGCAGCCCCACCTATCACTGTCCATCGTCACATCTTGGACGCTGCGCCGCCTTCCTGTCTGATGAGGACCCAGGATACTCTTCCCATCCCAACATTTGGGGCTCGGTCATGTGTACGTGGTCCCTTGTGCCATGTAACTGGCGTGTCCACAGTTTTGGGAGTTAAGACGTGGACATGTTTGGGCATCGCTGTCTCCCACAGCTGGTATCAGCACACCCCCCGAAGGAGCCGTCTTTGCTGGGGTGCAGGGATGAGCTGACGTGTCAGTGAGTGTGAGTGTTGCCTACGCCAGTTGGGACCCCAGGATGGAACCCGTGCCTACCCACAAGGGCACCGCTCACCAAGACAATCAAGGAGTCAGGGGTAGACCAGGGCCCCCGTGTCACCCATGACACCTGTGACACCTGTGACACCCGGCCCATTTTCAGGCCTAAGCCACGTTTGGACCCAGACGTGTTGATTCAAGGAGAAAGCAGGCTCCGAGGAGGGCAGGCTGCAACGCCACAGCCCCTGCACCCAGCGAGGAGTCCACCTACCACCCCAAGGGTGCCACGACCTTGTGCACACGGGAAAGGGGACTCTTCAGGGACAGGTGGACATAAGCCGGGTTGATATTCCTACGCGAAGACCTAACTGTCACCATGGCCCCTGTGAAAACGAAGGCACGTGGAGACCGAGTGCTAACCACGGCCGGCCCCGGATACGGCTTGTGGGCCCACTGGTCCGTGCCCCTCACTCCCAGGTCGTCTTCCTGTCCCCGACTGCACCACAGCACAGACAGACATCCAGCAGGCAGCCTCGTCCCTGTGTGAACTGTTTTCTGTGCCTTCCATGCTCTGACATCGGGGCTCACCAACTGGGGACAGACTGCCCCTCCCAGGGCCAGCCAGTTCTCCAAGACATAAAAGCACTAACCATAAAAATACTGATAAATGCATCACATTAAAAGTCCTCTCATTTATCAAAAAGACAGCGTAGGGGAAAGTTAAAAGTTGAGCCCAAAACAAACGAAGCTATTGGCAATTTTTATATCCAATAAAGATTGGTGTGCACAACATGTAATCCAATAAAGGTCAATATGCAGAACGCATAAAGAACGGTAATTCAATAAAAAAGATAAAAATAAATCCATTTGGATTAATAGGAAAAAGTATGAACCAACAACTCGGAGTAGAGGAAAACGAATGGCCAATAAAGATATGAAGACACCCCACTTTACCAGCTAGCAGGAAAATGAAATTTTATCCCCATTTCGTGCTCCTTAGCTGCAAAATCGAGGTGACAGCCCGTGCGTGAGCCGTGGGTCCTGCTGCTGTCCGAGGGTGTCCATCGGTGCCTGGCGAGCCTCTGGGATGCGTCTGCTCGGCTGCGAAGGGCCGACGCCCACGTGCCCTTCTGAGGCCTTTAGAGGGACAAATGGAGATGCGTCGGGACACAGGCAAAGATGTCCCCTACTGCCGTTACCTCCCTGTCTCCAGGATTCACAGTAGCTTTCTAGTCATCATGGTTTCCTCCTAGCGTCCCTTCTCCTGTTCCCTCTCTGAGGTGCAGGGTCACACCTTCGTGTTCCTTGTCTGCCCCTTTAGGGGGTGTCTTTAGGAGAGGAGCAGAGAACAGTGGTCGGTCTGTCCTGGAGACCCCCAGGCTGCGCGGAGGCCGCGTGCGGGTCCGGGGGGTTCTGACGTGCGCCTCCCTGTGTCACGCTCCCTTTGGGAACCCCTGCACTTGCTGCGGGGAGGGCGGAAACCCCCGCAGGAGCTCCCCTGTGCGAGCGCGGCGCCTCGCCTTCCGAGTGCTGTGCGCCTGCGGGGAAGGGGAAGTGGATTTAAGAGAGAGCCGAGGACACGGCGCTGCAGGAGCTTGGGAGGCTAGACGCCATCTCCGGCCAGACACTGGTCCCCACGTGGGAAATCTACCCCGAGACCGGATGCGCGTGTGGGCCAGGCAACCGGCCTGCAGGAGGTGGTGGGTGCGGCCCACCTAGGTTACCACGCTGCTGCCGTAAAAGTAACATGGCGCGCGCGGCGGCTCAACACCGCGCTGACTTCTCCCTCGTTCTTCAGGCCCCAGGCTGGTGGGCTGGCGGTCCCCCAGTGGTCGACCGATAGCCAGCCGGGCACTGGCCCCTAAAGTGTGGCCCAGGAAGTACACAGATCACCTCTGCTCCCATTTCGCTGATCAGGCAGGGCGAGGAGCCACACTGAATTTAAAAGAGGGGAGGCGACCGCAGCTTCCGCCATGGCAGGAGACTGAGTCCTACCGCAGGTGGGGGCCAGGTGGGGGCCAGGTGGGGGCCGTGAGGCCTGGACAGAGCCTAGGGCGGCTGAAGCATGTGCGCAGAGGGGGGTGGGGGCGGCGGCGGGAGAGCTCCGCGGGCTCGGTGACCCTGCTTTCTGTGAACTATGTGCCGTGCTGCAGAAGGCTCTTCCAGAGCCTCACGGGGGGCGGGGGGTGAGAAGGGGACGGCCAGCTCCGTGGCCTGGCTCCCAGGCGGAATTTAAGGAGGCAAAGGCTCCAAAAGTCAAACAACCCATACCGAAGCGATGGACTCTTCAGTGACGAGGTGTCAGGAGCAGGGCGCTAGGCGATACTCGAAGGGCCCAGATCTCCTGGTGCGTTCGCTGTGCTGAGCACTTTACGCGCGGTCTCACGCGGCTGCGCCAACGCGCGGAGGCGCATGGGGTCACACCGAGCCTCGCGCCCCCGAATAGGCGGCGAAAGCTGTGGAAAGAGCTCAGCAGTCAGCGCCCAGGCCCCTATAGCAGCTGTGTAGGGCCAGGGGACGGTGGGCGACGCAGGCGCACGGTCCCCAGGCAAGCATGCCGCGTGGACCTGTGCCAGGGGCTCCAGCTCAGGACTGGTGCCATGCGGGCCACGTTGGGAGCGGACCAGGGACCCAGCTCCGCGGACGCTGAGAGCGCGTGTGCCTGTGCTCAGCACCGCCGCGACCACCAGCGCGCAAGTGCGTGTGCGCGCGCGCGCGCGCAGCGAGGCTCTGTGCGGGCCGCGTGGGGAGGGGCTCGCGCACCAGCCCCGGCACCGCCCCTCCCGCGTCCGGTCCCCCATCCTTCACCTGGCCCAGGGAGGGGTCTGCACCGGGCCCGGTACCGCGGGGCTGCGAGTCCCGAGCGAGACCCGGCCTCCGCCCCAGCGCAGCCGCTTCCCTCAGCCCCATCCCGGGCCCTGCGCGGCTTTGTGAAGCGCAGAGACGTAGGCTGCTCCGTCGCCGCCGGTCCGAGGGCCGGCAATGGAGACGCCCAAGGAGGAGACCCCATAGTCTCCGCCGCTCTGCGGGGCGAAGCTGTCCCCGTCCCCGAGACTCCAGGATACTCAGAGTGGACCGTGGCCTCCCCTCCCTAGCTGTCGGCCCCGCTGCCCAGTCGGAGAGGCCCGCGCCCCTCTCGAGGTGGTCGGCGGGTACACAGCACCCAGCGCCACAAGGCGCGCGGGTCCCGCCC